GCCAGTCCTCCCCTGTGTAGCATTATATCTGCACACTAACACACCTGGCCAGTCCGCCCCTGGGTATCTGCCATGCCCGGTCGTCTGCCCGGAGAGAAGTGCGGCCCGTGACCGAGATTCGAACCAGTAACGCTCGGCCACTCCGTCCCCCATCATATGTTTTCTTCAGCTCAAAACAAAATATATAAACTGTGCCTATGTATTTTTCAACTACTATTGTAAAACCATATCTACGCATTTTTACCCAACAATTAAAATTTAATTGGCAATTATAGAAAAAAAAAACTAAAAAGCAGTATTTAATGTCCGAAGATTCAAAATCAAGAGCAGTAGCTCATTTAATTAAAACATGGGAGTTGTTGAGTCGCTTGATATATCTTTTCCCAACCCCTATAGTTGAAAGTGTTCAACTTGCAACAATTGATTACCTACTTGTTATAGGTGTCTGTAGAAAGATTGTTTTCGTCATTAAAGTTTATTTTGAATGATTTACGATCAAATTTAGGAGCAAATGTACTTGAACAAATAATGATACTACGATCAAGTTTAGTAGTTTAGTGAATTACTAAAAATAAAAAAGTGAAATGTATTTATGCATAATATAACGGGTCTGGGTCGAAATCCCGACAATTATAATCCCGACATGTAAAATCCCGAGATACCAAATCCCGACAAATCACAATACCGACAGTTTAAAATCCCGACAAGTCACAGTACCGACTGTTTAAAATCCCGACAAATCATAATACCGACGGTTTAAAATCCCGACCAAACATATTTACATAATATTATCATGTTCATTATTCAACAATTTCATTTAAAAACTCAAACAATACATTACACTACGATTACATTATATTTATACTATTATATTCGTTAATCATTATTTAAAATATTTATATTTAATATTTATATAAGTACATCATAATTTATATTATTATTTTCATTATTGGATTTAATATTCGGAATGTGACCGCCGATCGTCATTGAACAAAAAAATTAAAAAAATATATAAAACTACATCGATATATTATGAGCCAAACCCCGTAAAAAATCTAAGACACTGCTATTTGATATATCTTTATATACCGTCATTATTCTTTTCTCTCTGTCAATTATTTGTTTTTTCTGTTTCGGTTTTGGTTCTCCACGATTAATGCATTCAATTTCCAAGTCAACTCGTTGTTGTTCTTTCTGAAGCTCCTCTATCATTGTATAGACTCCAACATGAGGTTTACCAACCAAAGTTGACCAACGTCGATGCCATATAGGTACTAAATTAAACTTTTATAAGATAAGATAAGATAAAATTATTTTATTTTGTCGATATTTCAAATGGTCGGTATTTTGAACTGTCGGTATTTTGAACTGTCGGTATTTTGAACTGTCGGTATTTTAGACTGTCGGGATTTTGGTTTCGGGTTTTTGACCATTCGGGATTATCATTGTCGGGATTTTGAACGCCTCCCTAATATAACATACTAAAAATATGAGTTATGAAAAGTAGAATGTTATTTTCTTGTGTTGTTATAACTTACAAGTTATAATCAATATACAATTTTGATATATTTAACTATTCAAGACTTCAGTACATATTTAACATTTAATATATTGTTTAAACTTTAAAGTTTATAAAGGTTATTGTTTTATATTTGTATTTTAATAAAACTTTTATTATAAAAGTAGTAAGTAATAACACTACAAAGGCTTAAGTTACATAGGTACTACATTTGTCTAATGTTTTGATGTAATTTCAAGTCTACTAATCGTTATTGATTAGTAAATAATAGGCTTAAGTTTTTTCTTGATATTTTAAATTAATTGTATCTAGGAGAAAAAGTTGTATATAGTCGTTTCTCGTTAGTCAAGTACTCAGTATGAACTCATATAAAAAGGTGTATTAAAAATACTTCATTTTTTTTTTTTTTTTTTTTAATAAAAAACCTGTACCTATATGAGCGGTTAACCAGAGTCCAAAACCTTAGTAGTAGAAAACCGGTTTTAAAAACCGACACCAAAACCTATGACTTTTATTTTGGTTATTGAAACCGGTGAGCAAAACCGTTAGTATAAAAAATCGGTTTCAAAAACCAAAACCGATCAATCGCACCGACCGACGTCCGAAGTTAGGTTAGTCCGTGGCACTGCGTATCACCGCGTTCGGTTTGTTAGCATTCGTCGCTACTGGAAAATGGATTGTTGCGTATTGTATAATTGTGTTCTGGCAACACTGTTGTAATCTATCGTCTCGGCCGTCCAAAACGCTAACCTGTTCCCGTGTTGTGTTTGTGTTTATCATTTCACTTTCTAGTGCCTTCACCGCCCTTCGTGTGCCGACAATAATTCGTCGTCAACGCACGAGAACAGATGACTTAATATTAAAGTCGGGTGTCTAATACCTATATCGCAGCCGATAATTGTTTTCCATCGTTGATTTCTCGTCGCTGTAAGCAAACATCGTAAGTATGATATTTTATTAGCACCGCAGCGCGTTGATTCGGATTTCGTCGGCCGCCATTTTCACGTGCTCGTGATCCGCGACGCGAACGTCGTCAAAATCCTACTTCAATCTCCCGACCGATTGCCGCCGCGGTATTGGACGATATTGGACTAGGTTCGCCGGCGGCCGGCCGCCCGTTTGCCGTTCAAAACACTATTATGGCCGTTTATATTATTGCTGACGACCGGTATTACGCCGTTAAGATTGTTCGACGATCATCGCTTGTTGGTAGATCCGCTCACCCGTTTTTTTTTTCTGAAGTTTTATCCGCTATATACGTCTTTAAACCTCCACCTGCCAATATGTAGTGTGTACCTACGTACCGGCATTCACGCGCGCGCATGTGTGTGTGTGTGTGTGTGTGTCTAACAATAACATTTTGAAACGGGCAATACTGTTTGTTACTAAAATATAATGCGTAAAATGTAACTATAGAACTTTTTATAGATTTTTTAAACATCTTTATTTATGGTTTTTACAAATTTTATGCGCTTATTGATAAATGTCTTACATTTTTTATTATACAATTTTAGGAGACAAGTGTTTTTAATATTATCCTTTGCTGTTGTTTTAAACAATTTTAATTTGGAATCAATTATTATAATGTATACTACTACTATTAACTGATAATTTTTTTCACTGTCGATATTGTTTTTATTTCATGCAGATAGTTATTAGTTACACGGATCTACAGAATACACTTTTTTCCAAACCAAAGTAGAGTGTTCTGACCAGTTATAATAAATTTGTTTTATGCGGGAAATTAAAATAAATAATTTTATCTTTTCCTGTGAAGGGGAGAACAGATAATATTTTGAGGATAGAGCCCATAAAACATAAAATTTAGAAAATTTATTAAACACCTTAATTAATACTTAATAGGTACCTATCCAAATATAAATTATCAACCTGTAATGTCAGTATATTATGTAATACATGTGTTAGTGTGGGAAAACCGTAAATAATAAAATAAATTACAATAAACATGATTAAATGTCAATAACTTTTTCACATAGTCACATAGGATCGAAAAAATTTGTAAAATATTCGTTATTAAATATTTGTGAATATAAAGAAGAAATAATACCTGAAAAAGAAAGAGGATCAAAAGCTAAACCTCCCCCACCTGCACCAATACTAACATCGGCCCCCAATTCCTATACTTATTTCCATTTTATTAAATATAGTAGCAAATAATATGCAATAAATAAAATACCTACCTAAAATTGGTTGCTTTTTCAAATCGTATACAAATAAATCTTTTTTAATCGGAGCTTTATATTATAGTGCGTTTCATAGCAACTGCGACTCGACAGTCGACACTAACGCATTTTGTCGTGGTTCTGTCTCAAACCAGGGGTTTTCAAACTAGGATCGAAAACATTTGTAAAATATTCGTTATCAATTTTAGATTTACCAAGAATTTCTACAAGCTAGTTTCAAAAACCTTAATGAAAAAACGTCACAGTTCGCGTAATCATCGAGTCGCAGTTGTTACAAAACACACTATAGTATTAGCACAATTACAAGTCTACATGGCTTGAATGAAAAACAATAAATTACTTCAGTTATTACAATATAATGTGTTTACAATTAATTTAATTTGAATTATTTTTATAGCTATGATGAAAAGTAAGAAGGTACAAGCAGGTGATTCTGAAAATGAATTTGACGTTGATGACCCGGAAGAAGTGGGAGAATACTCTGAAGATAAATCTACTTCAACAGCTGCTGTATGTTTTATTAGTATTATATTATGTTATGAATAAATAGTATATTTATTTATATATTAGGCCAAAACTCTTGGTAAAAGAAGACGACCAGCCAAAAGTACACCTGCTAGAAATAAGACATCAAAGGTTTCTGATGATGAATATAAAGAAGAAATAATACCTGAAAAAGAAAGAGGATCAAAGGCTAAACCTCCCCCACCTGCACCAATACTAACATCGGCTAGAGGTAGGGAAAAATCACATAAGAGATTTGGTAAATATAAATAAAATATGTAGCTAAACAGTATTTTTTTCCCCATTTCCTATACTAATTTCCATTTTATTAAATATAGTAGCAAATAATATGCAATAAATAAAATACCTACCTAAAATTGGTTGCTTTTTCAAATCGTATACAAATAAATCTTTTTTAATCGGAGCTTTATATTATAGTGCGTTTCATAGCAACTGTGACTCGACAGTCGACACTAACGCATTTTGTCGTGGTTCTGTCTCAAACCAGGGGTTTTCAAACTAGGATCGAAAACATTTATAAAATATTCGTTATCAATTTTAGATTTACCAAGAATTTCTACAAGCTAGTTTCAAAAACCTTAATGAAAAAACGTCACAGTTCGCGTAACCATCGAGTCGCAGTTGTTACAAAACACACTATAGTATTAGCACAATTACAAGTCTACATGGCTTGAATGAAAAACAATAAATTACTTCAGTTATTACAATATAATGTGTTTACAATTAATTTAATTTGAATTATTTTTATAGCTATGATGAAAAGTAAGAAGGTACAAGCAGGTGATTCTGAAAATGAATTTGACGTTGATGACCCGGAAGAAGTGGGAGAATACTCTGAAGATAAATCTACTTCAACAGCTGCTGTATGTTTTATTAGTATTATATTATGTTATGAATAAATAGTATATTTATTTATTTATTAGGCCAAAACTCTTGGTAAAAGAAGACGACCAGCCAAAAGTACACCTGTCACAAAAAAGAAGAAACCAAAGGTTTCTGATGATGAATATAAAGAAGAAATAAGACCTGCAAAAGAGAGAGAATCAAAAGCTAAACCTCCCCCACCTGCACCAATGCTAACATCGGCTAGAGGTTGCGAAAGACCAACTAAAGTATTAAAAGTGGTGCCTGAAGAAGAGCCAGAAGATGATGAAGACTTTGAGGAATTAAATGAAGAAGAAGATGATGACAATGTAGAATTATCGGAAGAAGAGCTTAATCAAGTACCAAAAGCAAAGACAGTTCGAAAATTCACTGTATTTATATACTTTACTTTCAATTTGACATTTTTTGAATTAAGTTTAAAATATATATTTTAGTCGGGAGCGTTTATCGTAAGCAAGAGTGATATGTGTAAAGCTGCCCCTCCTGTGTGGCAAATTGATGAACTGGAGGTTTTACAAAAGTTTATTCCAATCTTATATGGTGATAAAGTATTCTACAAAAGTATTGATATAGTAAGTATATTTTCATGTTATGGAAATATAAATTAAAATAATTTGTTCATAACAAGTAATTTACGGTTGATTGTGCTTTAAAAATAATATATGTTTTACTTTTTAGTATCGTCCTTTTTTTTCGAATTTTAAAGAAGAGTGCTACATTGCACCTGTATCAGTTATAAAGCACACCGAGGAAGAACACATTATAGAATTTCACAAAGATAAAATTAAGAAGTGAGTTCTTAACTTTTATTTAATTGTTTTTTTTACGAACAATGAAAAACTATTCTAGAGATCCTGAGTTAAGAAGCTGTCAAGGGAAGAATTAGAATAGAAAGAAGCTGAATTAACAGATGATGTTGATGAAGAGGAGTAACCATTTAAAGCTTAATATTTTTACATTAAGCCAAATTAACTAATTTAAAAAAATCATATTTAATTCCACTGTAATATTTGTAACATTGTGATTCTATTTACTTACTTACTGTTATAACTAAAGTTTACCCGTTGATAAATATAAATAAACAAATATTTATGTAGGAATATCATATAATATAATATATACTTATTTATCAATATTATAATAATGATCTTTCAAATTGTATATTTCTTTTATTATTATTAATTATTATTTTGACAGCTGTGTTCAACAGTTAGGTATATTTTTGGGGATTTTTTTTTCCTGTATTCATTACACATAATATCTTTTAACTAATTATGTGTTATGTTGCGCACAAAATGGGTAAGGTAAATTCGAATGTATTTTTAAGTTCTGACGCAACTGTCACTAAATATCGGTTCATTTATCTGAGATAGGACCTACCTACTTACTACTTTAAAAGTGTTAGATATCAGTAGTTTAAGAAGTTCAATATTAATTCATTCAACATGGAATTTATGTCTAAATGCCAACAATTAATGGTGTTAAAAAATTTAAATATGAATCGAAAATAAGTGGTTATAGAACATGTAAATGCTGAAATAAAATATGCAAAGCCAAACTTTTCTTAAACAACGAAAATACATAATTTACATAATAACACTTACCTATAGGTGTTAATGATTTAGGCACCTATATAAAATTATATATGTTATCGTATCGATATGTTTATATACAGTTTAATAGTATTAGTATATAGTTATTGTATAAAATTAACTGCCGCAATTCGTACAATCCACACAACTATCTAAGAATCTTATTGGGTTTGTCGCAGATTGTTAAATTTTTATTTGTCGCAGCCTTCATAATATTGACTTTTAGAAAAATTATAATTTTCCGCAGTTTACCATCTACCGTATTTTCGTGGACGTGTTTCTTCAAGTTAAATCTGAGACGTACATGAAATTCAGATTTCAGAATTCAGAATTCGTATTCAAATACTTCGTAAAAATAGTATTCCGAATAAAGTATTTTAAATACCTACTTCAAAAATATTCAAAAAATACTTTGTAATTTTTGTTTTAAACATCAATCCAATGATAATTTTCTTCGGGAAAATTGTCCAACATGTATAATTCAGTAATTCTAAATATAATATAAACTAAGTTATCGATACATGATTTAATATTTTAAAACGTGTACCTATATTATTGTAAAATTGTTCAGAAAAACAAGAAAAAAATCATTATTGTAAATAATAAGTTAGTATTTCTTAATGGGAATAAAATACTTTTAAAAATATTCTAAATAGTTATTCAGAATACTGTCGGAAAATGTATTTTAAAAGTATTCTAAAAAGTATTCCGAACACTGTATTATTTGGAATTCTTTATTCGGAATACTTCCCAAGACTGCCGGCGACGGACTATACAACTCATTTACTCGAACGAACGAACTAACCCATATACAAGCTGTCCCAACCGGCCAAAAGTTACCTCAGGTGAAATACATTATGTAAATATGTAATACATATATTATGACTTAGAAGCAGGGCATGCAAGTAAGTTCATGCATCTGCATGTTTTTTATGCTACACAGGAAAACATGCTGACTGAGACACAAATCCATTTTATAACAATATAGTAATGACAATATGAACTTTGATGGTGCATGTTTTTGCATGTTTTGGTTGTTAAGGGGATTCGAAGCAGCGTATTTATTTCATGATTTAGACCCAAAAGCCTGACAAAAATACGCCTACTTAGAATTATCAGATTTCAATTCTGTAAAAAGACGAGTTCATTAACAATTTTCCTAGGTTATTGTGGGAATCAATTTTCGATATTTTTTTTAGAATTCACGTTAAATCATATTTCGATTTCTCAATTATTTGAAAACTGTTTGTGTTTTTCTTTAAAAAGTTAAACAGTTATTTAAAAATCGACTCCCACAATAACCTAGAAAAAAGAACGATGAATTCAAATATGTTTACAGAACTAAACCCCGATCATTCTAAGTTATCGTATTTTTGTCGACTTTTAGGTCTCAATTGATTGAAATTAGTTTCTCGTTGGAACAAATATTTTATTATGTGACATGTGCATGCGAACCACTGATTCAGAACGTATCTACGCACACTAATGATCATTTACTTCGCACACAAACACACTGCGAAACGACTATAAGACATCGAATTGCCTATACACGACCCCTTATTAAATCACAACTTCGAACCCCCTTAATATAACATTTAGGTATCATTATTAATTGTACTATCATACATTAGAAGTTATTTTCTTTTTGTGGTTTTAAATTAAGGCATATTTGGCATACAGTCGATTTTTTACAATCGTTAGTGCATATTATTTCATAATTATACATATATTTTTTAGACAAATATTTGAAAAGTTTCTTGTTTTTATTTACTTTCCCGTTTACAAAACTATAATGTTTTGTTTTATTTTTATTCAGTGTGTGTATGTGTGTGTGACTACCTTGTGTCCTAGTACATACCTATTTAGATTTTATACGTTTTACGTAGTACCGGGGAAACAATGTAATAGCTACCACTAGCTACCATATATATATATAATTGCATTTTTTTTAATTCATGGATTTATTTTTATTATTTCAAAATTTCTTCATGATTTTTTTACATAATGCATGCTTATTTATGCATTTTTTAGTGCATGAAGTTACGAGCCCTGCTTATGAGTATAAGTTCAAGGACTCAAAAACGAATTAATTGTATATATATATAGCTGATCCCCTTCACTTTGTTACTCGTTAAAATATGTACTGACTCTGTATGCATTTAAAACCTTGTTCGATTCGTTTATTTAATATTTGGTATGTATGATGCTCAAAACTTAAAATTGTTCATCGATCATCTTGAATATTTAATTACTAGGGTTCGGATTTGAAGGCAATATAATCAATAAAAAAAGCATTTAAAATGTAAAAAAAAGGCAAAAAAAAGACATTTAATTTATTTAAAAAGGCAATTCATAAATATACTACAAAATAAAATAGTGAACATTTTTTAAACACTTTTAAATGCACACATTTTGAGAAAAATACAAATTAAAAATGAGCATGAATACTAAACTACATTAAGTTTATGCTATTTTGTATTAATAGATTAGGTACCTTTTTCTTTAACCAAGTTTGTCCCTTTTTCTTTAACCAAGTTTGTCCTAAGAATTAGTTAAAAACAATTTTAAATATTAACTTACTTGAGTTATACCAGTTAATTTAATGCAAAATAAACTAGTTGGTATTAAAAAAAAAATTGACTACCATGTATTTTGATAAACTGTCTTCAGAAAAACGGCTACGGTTAGGGGTTAAAATATTTTTGTACATCGAAAACGATCTTTCTACGTCCACCGAAGTTTTCGGGGCGTATTTCATACTTAAATAATTATCTAAATTAAGATTGCTACTATTGCGAATTATAAAACCCATTTGTAACGATAACACGCAAGCTGTAAAATTATAAAATCAACTGAAAAATTAAACACAAAATAGGCATTTATAAGTACAAAAGGTAAAAAAAGGCAAAAAGGCATTTATAAGTAAAAAGGCAAAAAAAAAAGGTCCATCCTCTAAGAAATTAAATGAAACACATTTTTGTATAACAATTATTTTTCTATTATGATTAATAAAAGAAAGCATTTGCCTTCAAATCCGAACCCTAATAATTACCATTAGTTATATAGTTTAATTTTTTGTACGTAAACACTGTTATGATACTATAATAATATGGTATACGGTATAGGTAACGCGATATTTTGTTCCGCGGACATTTTGTTTCTTTTTCAAAAATAAACAATCGCAAAAAAAAATCTTAAAACTGAACAAAATGTCCTTTAGGGATATTTTGTTCCACGGTGATATTTTGTTATTCTCGGTGGACTTTTTGTTCCGTTTTGTGAATATGAAATTTGGAATATAAAATTAAAACTCTATGTTGTCATTAAAAAATTTAAAAAAAATTAAAAATTAGAAGGATAAAACGATTTGAAGTAAATGACTTGAAACTATGTAAAATAATATTTTTTAAAACATTTATACTTCTTGAAATAATGAGGTCTCCGTGATAAAAGAATCAACCTGGATATTGTCGTATAAGTCGATTAAATTATATTATTTTCTTATAATTATATTATAAGAATCTAATATATTGTTAATCTCAATTGATTGTGTATTGTTTTGTTTTAATTATGTAATTGTAAGGCTATCATAGTTTATACTAGTGGCATTGAAAAAAAAGAAAGTCAATAAATTCAGACGTGCATATCTTAAACGAACAAATAATATTATAATAATTATAAGCTCTTTATATTGAAACGGCGTTCAGAGTTAATCAAATGTTATTCATTAAACCAAAGAGTTTAACCTAGTTAAATCGTACTTATTGACTATGTGTAAAATGATTATACTAATTGACTCGAGGCTGGCTATAAATAATGTGTTAAAAAGTTACATAGTTAAGTTACTTTAAGCTAAAGGTGGGTAAGTTAATGAACATAATTAACTCAATTTAAGTGAAGTTAAGAGGACACAAGATCGATAAGTTAAAAGTGAACAGTTAACAAATTATAAATTGAACTCGATAAGTTAAAAGTTAATATAGAAAAAAATATTAACTTAACTCAGTTTCCAAAAAGTTAATCAATTTTTTTTTAATTAGTATTGAAATCACTTAAAGAATGAATGTGTCTTGCTAGTTTCTAATTTATAAATTATAAAAAACAATTTTATTGAACTTTTATCATAATGTACACTGCATACTATTTTTTTTTTACTTATTTATTATTTACTAATTTAAACTATACTCCTCTCAAATTAATAATTTAACGAATTTATTTTTTTTTATCGTATATAGCAATTGAATGTCATAATACGTGAAGTTGAGTACGTGACCTTCATATATATATTATAAGT